ATGTTGATGATGATGATGATGATGATGATGGGGTCCCGAAGATGATGATGGTGTTGATGATGACGATGATGATGGTGTCCCGATGATGATGATGTTACGGATGATGATGATGATGTTGATGATGATGGTGTCCCGATGACGATGATGATGTTGATGATGTTGTTCATGATGCTGATGAGATGATGGTGATGGTGGTGGTGGCCCGATGCTGATTACGGTGGTGTCCCGATTATGATGATGATGATGATGATGTTGATAATGATGATGGTGACGATGATGGTGTCCCGGTGATGACGATGATGATGATGTTGACGATGATGGTGATGAGGTGATAATGATGGTGTTCCAATGATGATGATCATGATGATGATGATGATGATGATGATGATGATGATACTGATGATGATGACGGTGATGTTGTTGGTGATGATGATGATGACGTTGACCGTGATATCGATTGTGATATCGATAGTGAGATCGATAGTGAGACCGAATGTGACATCGATTGTGAGATTGATAATGAAATTCGGACGTCCATTTCCCGTGCCTTTTTTTGTTTCGTGCGTGTTTTTTTTGCTCGATGGTCCAGGATGGTCCTCGATGGTTCTCGCCGAGGAAAAACTGCACACGTCCGAGCGATGCCAAGGTCCTCAGGGTCCCTGGAGCCCTCTTTACTTGAGATTCGGCCACTCCCAGGGGCCAGAGCCAAACGGCCAGATGCCTCGGAGATGCCCGCGTGGCGCTCGGGGCTTGACGTGTGACTTTTTCTCGAGGCCATCGGGCGCCGAGATGGGCCCAGAGGATCCCTGGAGGCCCGAGAGCGCTCCGAGACGCCCATCGCCTGCCATTGACTGCCCGAGAGGCGCCCAAGACGCCCCGAGGCCCCAAGAGGGCACCGGTCTGCAAACTTCGATGTCTCCCCTCGGGTTTTAAGACGATGTCGTGCCTCTTCGAGCTCCCGGCCGCCCACGGCGGCCCAATAGGCTAGGGCTCCCAACTTCGCGCTTCGCGCTGCGCGAAGCGCGAAGCGCGAATAACTTCGCGCTCTCGCGCCGCCCTCCCAAAAGGAGAAAAGGAGGACGAGGAGGAGGGGGAGAAGGAACGAGGACCGCGAAGCGCGAAGCGCGAATAACTTCGCGCCCTCGAGGGAGCCCTTGATAGGCCTCTCCCATGGCGGCACGTCGGTCCCAAGAGGCCCCCAAGGCGGTACAGGTGGACCCCTGCTCGGCGCGAGGGGCTCCCGGAAGCCAAGGGGGCCCCAAGAGGAGGAGCTCGAGCTGGCCGCGGGAGATTGCAAAAAAAAACCGAAGGATTGCAAAAAAAACCCAGGATTGCAAAAAAAAAAACCCTTCGGTTTTTTGCAATCCTGTTTTTTTTTTTGCAATCCTTCGGTTTTTTTGCAATCCTTGGTTTTTTTTTGCAATCCTCGGTTTTTTTTTGCAATCCTTCGTTTCCCCACAGGCTGCCCTCAGGACCGCCAGCATGCCCCCGGGTGCCCCTCGGAAGCGTCCAAGAGGCCCAACGAAGCCCCGCAGAGGCCCCCCCGAGGGCCCGACAGGCCCACGAGTCTGCGCCCTGGGCCTCCAAGAGGCCACCCCAGGAGGCCCAACAAGGCATCCACGAGGTCGATGGCCTACAACCCCAACACGATGATGGGATGAGCCGACGGCCACTAGATCCGCCGCCCCCTTATGCTGGCCAAGGGGTGCTGGGCGTGGCGCGGCTTAGTTCGCCTCGACCCTTCCGAAACGTGTCCAATGTGGTCTCGGCTGAGCCAGCTGGCCACCCGGGAACTACGCATGCAAAAAACTATGACGCCCAACACGGCATCAAGATGGCATCCAATACGGTCAAGATGGCCCAGAATGGCCTCCAAGACGCCACACATGCCCTCTCAGGCGGCCAAGATGCCCCGAGGAGGACCCCATACAGTCTCGAGATGCCCCCGAGCTGGTCCACAATGCCTCGAAGACAGCCTCACGTGGCTTCAGGAGGGCCCAAGAGGCCCCACGTACAGCCCAAGGGGGCGCCAAGAGGCCCTCCTGACTACCCACCAGACCACCCCGACCCGACCCGAAGACCCCAATTTCGGCTTGGGGGGGGTACGGGCTCCATCTGTGCTTTTTCGGTGCTCCCCGACCCCCCCCCCCAACTGGAACTGGAGGGTAAGTTCAGGCCTCCGGGTTGGGCTGGGGCGGCTTGGTGGGTGGTGACACCCCTCCCGAAGACGGCACCCTCTCGGGAGCGGCCAAGAGGGGGGTGTCCAAGAGGGGGGCGTGCAAATCATGACCGGCGGCATGTGCGCGGCCCAGCGGGGAGGCCGGGGACGTAATAAAATAAGAAGAGGCGCCATGAAATCTGGAGAAATATCATGGCCCCCGCCATGATATCCACCCCCCCCTAGTCATCACCCCCCTCTTTTCCGCCCCCGAACCCTCCCGTGTTGCCCCCGGCTCTCCGGGACGCGCCGCGCCTCCCTCCTCCCCGGGGCCTCCGACGGCCCAGGACGGCCCCGGGGGCCCGCACAAGAGCCCCCCCCAGGGGCGGCCCGTGGGGCCCCCGGGCAGGCTCCGAGAGGGGCCAGCAGGGCCCAGGCAGCCCCTGGCCATCGCTCGGGCGTCCATGCCCTGTTTTTTTTTTCGGTTTCGTGCGTGGCTTTTGCCGCCAAGTGATCAAGGAGGCTCCTCGATGGTCCTCGCCGGAAGAAAAATGCACACGTCCGAGCGATGCCAAGGCCCGGGAGGCCCCCGAGGCAGCCCCAACAGGGCCCCGAGGCGGCCTGAGGGACCCCCAGGACTTCCCGAAAGCGCCCCGAGAGGGCCCCAAGGCGAGCAGACGGGCCAAGAGAGCCCGACAACTGCCCCAAAATGCTCGCAACAGGCCCCATGAGGCCCCCGAGAGGCCTAGCAGAGTTCCCCAGGAAGCTGGCCTTCGATAGGCCTCCTTCTCCTCCTCCTCCTTCTTCTCCTCCGTTTCGCCTGTCTTAGTGCTTCTACAATGAACCTCTATAAATACTGCTCTCCTCTCTCCCCCAACTACGGTCCGAAACTGTCCCGCCCTCTCCGTGCATGATTATTTACACGCCTGATGAAAAACATGTGCAATCTACACTTTGCTGTCAATCAAAACGATTATGGCGTTTCGCAAAGCGGCGCTTTGCTCCGGTCGTTCAGCATGGCGATCACATCCCAGCTCCAGCCACTGTTCTGGATCCGTGCCCTTCCCCGTCGTTGTCTTCCTGGCTCTGTTCCACTCCTCCGCCTTCCCCTGGTGGCACCGATAGTAAACTCGATCGTGATATCGTTGATGAGATCTCTAGAATTGGATGAATCGTGAGATCAAAAGTGAGATCGATAGTGAGGTTGACTGTGACATTCGTTGTGATATCGGTATCGAGATCGATAGTGATAACGATACTCAGCTCGATTGCAAGATGGATAGAGAGATCGAGAGCGAGATGGATAGTGCGAGCGATAGTGAAATTACATCGTAGCGCAACATCGTGATCATGCATCGTCGCTAAGTGCAACACGCCACCAGCATCGTCATCATCACATCCGTCGCATTTACCAGCAGTTGGTTCTCCCCCCCACCCCTCAACCTCCTTATCACTCGAAGGGTGGTCGACCCCACACCACTAAAAAACGAAAGCTGCATCCTTCTTCTCGCAACCTCTCTTCAATCGAAAGATGAACTTGCCTGTGTATTGCACACTCTACCTGACTTGATGCCAATAAGGATTTTGAGGTTGCAATTGCGTTTGCTTCTCCAGGGGGGGAACCACGAGACAACCACGGGATAACAAGGCGGGCAACCCGCGTGACACACACACACACACAAGACTACTCGCGGGACAATTATGGAACAACCGCGGGACTACCGCGGAGCCGACACGTCGCTTCCTGCGCGCGCGCGACCCGGATCGAAATCGAAACTGGTGTTCCTCGTTGTAGTCGCTTCGTCTTCACCCAAACCTCCGATACGTTTTGCACCTCTCGCGCGCCACCTCACACTGCTGGCACAAGACCTCTTCTCATTCGGCGGCCAGGATCGGTCGGAGCCTCTCGTCCTCGTGCAGCGCCGCGCCGGTGCCCCGCCCATCATGGCCTCGGCGCGAGCAACGGGGAGTTTGACGCGCAGAGACGTACAACGAGCACGCACACGTGCAGATGGAAGACGCATTGTCGTTGGTGCGAACCAGGCCCTGCTTCCGTGACCGCCTGTCTCATTCACAACCGCCAGGCCCAAGATCAACCGAAACGCCCCGGGCCCAACGAGCAAAGACACATGTGATTGGACGCGTTCCATCACATGGCCCCAGGAAGTCCAAATCCGAAAAAGTTGTCATCCACCAGAGGGTGCAACTTTCACTTCTGCGTGCTTCCGCCACACTTGAATCACGGCGTCGCCGCCCTTCTGGCGCGATGCGCCGAGGGGCCAACCTCTGGGGCGCCAAAAAGCAGGGGTGTTTCTGCGAAGCCTTCCCCAATCCCCCCTTCCTCTCTGCGCGTGGCTGCCCTGTTTCGGCGTCCCGAGTGTAGCCCCCCAGACCCAGATCGGCGGAGAGCCACGTCGGTTCCACGTGGTTCCTAAACCTAAGTCCGCCAAAGGATCTCGGAGCCCAGATCTCCGACGTCACGCTTTTCCCCATATCCAATGGATGGGGCCCTTCTTACTGTGGCCGCGCGGACCTCCTTCACACACCCTGCTCCCTTCTCCTCTTCCCCCTGATGACGATCAGAATAGAATGACAATGACGATGATGCAGATAACGAATGATGATGGCGATGACAAATGCTGATGGTGATGCTGATGATGAGCGATGATGAAGGTGATGATGATGATGACGGTCAGGATGCTGATGAAAAGTGGTGATGATGATGGTGATGATGATGAAAATCATGGTTGGTATGATCATGATGTTGATGATGTTGCTGCTGGTGACAATGATACTGCTGCTGATGATGATGATGATGATCTTGATGATGATTCCCGCACGTAGCTTCGAACAACGTGTTCTTTGTCTCAGGCCACTGGCGGGCGACTCGTCGCACCAGCACTTCAAGGTGCTCGTTGTAAAGTGAATGATGGTGGCGATCCAATGGACCGCCCCCTGGGTTTGTGGTAAAGCTTGAACGCCAGGGCGAGGAGGAAAACTGCGCGCCCCGCGAGGTTTCCCCCGAATACTCGTGCCCTTCACCGAACCCCACACGTGCGATGACAGAGTATCGGACGAAGGAGCGGGCAAAGGGCCACGAGGTGAAGCAGGCGAGGGCAGGAGAGGTAGTGAGAAATCGAATCAGGTCCCCCTTCGCACTCAAAAACGCCCCCTCGCTGGCCCAGGATGTGCATTCTGCGGGTGGTGATCCACCCGCCCGGGAGAGTTGTGAGGACAGACCAAAAGACGGTCGGGCGGGTTTTGGCCAGGACCGCACGCAGCCCGGACCAGCGAGGGGCGGGGGGTGGGACCTGCACCGTTGGGAACCATTCTTTGCACGCGCTCCTGCAGCGCCAGGTGAAAAAATCTGGGAATAGCTCTCGGAGGAGGGCACGAGTGCATATAGCCTGCCACTTCGGGCGCTTCAGGAGCCTCTCGGCGAGGGCGGCTGCTCGGTTGGCCTCGGCAGCCGCGGAACGCTGGGGACCAGGGGGGACTTTCGGGAGCGCGATCGACTCGAGACGGGCGCGCAAGAGCTGAACTATGCTCTGGTCGCGCCAAAACGGCCGGGGAGAACGTCGCTGAACGTGGCGGACGGGGTGTTGCCTGACCACGAGGCTTCTTTCAATTCGTGGTGCCAGACATAGAAGTTGGAGATCGTGGCGCGCGCCGTGCGCCAGTTGGTCGCAACGCAAGATGCAACAATGGAAGTCGGGGTCGATCCAGGCGCCCATGCGCGCAGCGACCACAGGTCATGACCCGTCATCGAGCTCCTCGGCAGCCTCAGGAGTTTATGGATGCAGCGCAGTTTTTTTTGCGAGCAGCGCCCTTGGCGGTGGATAAAATTGTGCCACATAGCCCAGGGCGGGAAGAATCGCAACTTGGTAGAGACGGAGCTAAGAGTCACGGGAGCGAATCGGAGACCGAGGTTTTCGGGATTCTTGCCCACCACTTCTGCGCGAATGCCGTCCATCGCTGGGCTTTCGTTGCGTCGGGGCCCAGGGGCGCGCCTCAATAGTTGGCGGCGCCTGCGATGCAAAAGGGTTGCCAAGCAGGGACCAACTGGCGCAGCATGGCGAGCACTTCCTGCGCTGCGTCGTCTGCGCACTGAGCCCACAAGGGGACTATCGCGCATTTGAGGGGGCGGAGGTGGAGCGAAGCGAGGCTCGAGGCCGAAGCGAAAGGGGGGGGGTAGAGCGAACTGACGCACGTGAACTTAGCCAGTGCAGCGCCGAGGTCATCTGCACAGCCGCCCATCGAGGCCTCGCGAGGTCATGTGGGGGCGCCAGCTCCAGCGAACGAATGTGGCGTCTATGCCGAAGGCCCATGGGGAGCCGCCGAGGGGGCATCCTTGCATGACATCAACAGTGGGACCACCTCAACGCGAAACCGCGCCGAGGTCAGTGCCAGCGAGCAGAGGCCGCGCATCGCAGCGAGGTGCCCTGGCGGTAGCCCCACGCGCTCGAGGACCGCAAACAACCACGAGCGATTCGTGCTTGGGAGCGCTGCTTTGATGTCAAGAGCGAGAAAAAGCGGGGAGCGGCAGTCGGCCTGTTCGTGGAATCCGACCGCTCTCGCTCGTGCGTCCAGCTTGGCAATGTTCTGGCAGAAGTTCCGACCGCGGATGAACCCCTGCTGGGTCTCGTGAGCCCTGCTCTGCGCAAGCTTTGTTCGCGGGTGGTTGATGGCCGAGGCGAGCGCCTTGGAGTCACAGCTCTTTAGAGAGAGCGGTCTGACCTCCGACGCGTCTCGCAAACATTCCAGCGCATCGCCTGGTTTGTCGCATTTCGGCGGGAACGCAAACATGGATTGGTTGAGGGAAGGGGGGCAGGGATGGGGCACTGAAGAGGCAAGGGGAGATGGGGTAGAGGGATTCACTGGTGGCAGGAACAGCCATCCAAGCCTGAAATGGAAGCCAATCTGGGCCAGGCGCGGACTTCCCTCCTCGCTTGAAAGCACGAAGCAGAGCAGCGGGCGACGGGGGAGGCAGATCGGCGACAGGGAAAGACGGTGAGACCCTGTTCAGAAAGGCTTCGATTTCGTCCCTGGGAACATGTTTGTCAGAGAAAGTAAGGGCCCAGTGGAGCCGAAGGGCGTGGGCCCCCTGCTCCAGCTCTCCGACCGCCGGTCGCAGGCTGGCCCCACGTCAGACGGCGCGCGGAGTCTGTGAAAGCTGACTGGAGGCGATGCTGTGTAAAATGAGACGCTTAGAAAAAGGTGCCCGCAGCGCGGCGACGCCGCGGTGCGCGCTGGATGCGCCGCTGCTCCTCCAGAGACGACAGGTCATTCGCTCGGGCCGCGCGTTGAGCTGCCAAATGCTGCTCGCGCTCGTGCCGCGCGTGATTGTTGCGGATGACGGTGTTCTGAGACTCTGCAAAGTCGCCGAGCTGAGGTGGGGCCCGGCGCGTCCAAGAATCTCTGCCCCAACTAAGTGGTGGCAGCTATAAGGCGGGCCGCGTGCAGATCGGCGTGCCAGATTGCGCGGGCGATCGCTCTGAGCGCGAGGCGCCTGCTCTCCGGCGCGTTCACGCCCCCTGTGCCGAGCGGGGGGTTCAAGAGCTCATTGCGAGCGAGTTCGGCGGCCATGATCTTGATATGCTTTGTAACGTCGTAGCGGCGAAGGTCGGTCACGGCGTCCAACTCTGCTTCGCTGAGCACCAACGCGAGGAGGGACTTGCACTGGTTGGGGCGGGAGACAAAGTCGGGGGTGGGGCGCTGGTCCTTCTCTGGTAAGTGACGGGTCCCGATCGCGAGCTTTATGGCGGCGCGGTCGCTGAGGCGCCTTTCCGACGAGTCCGCCGTGACGTTGACCTCGCAGGGGGGGCGCGGGATGAAGGGGGCAGGGATGGCAACGAAGACCCTGTCGATCGTGGTGCCCTTCCGGTGACGCTTAGAGAAGTGAGTCGGAATGTCGGAGCTGATCTCGATGACGTTAGATCGGGTAAGTGAGCTGTTGTCAGAAGCTCTGGTTATGTTGGAAGCGGCCCTCGACGGTCTGGCGCTGCTGGCTGGCCTAAGGGATGAGGTGCGACTGCGAGGGCTCGTCGGAGAAATTGAAGTCGCCCATGGCGATGAACGGGAAGCGGAGCGGGCCGCTGTTGGACCCTTGCGCGCGGGTTGTCCACTCGTCGCGGAGCCTTATCTTCTGGGCGATGCTGAGGTCGTAGTTGTGCACATCGAAGATGCGGATCTCGCGGTCGGAGATGTGGCTGTTGATCGCGATGGGCTGAGGGCAACCGTCAACGACGCTGCGGGGCGAGATCACGGGCTTGAGGAAGGACGGGGGGCGGCCGGCAGCAGCATCGTTGCGGACCTGATGTCGTTCCGCACGTGCGAGGCCAGGGACGAGAACGGCGAGACCTCCAGCGTCTCTGGAACCGCAGCCCTGAAAGAAGCCGAGGTACGAGGCCGAGAAGGGAGAGCGAGCCAGCATGGTCTCCAACTCAGCCTGCGAGCCGTGGCGCTCCTGGATGAGGATGAGGGACCGCGACCGGAAGGCGTTCTCGAGCTCCCGAAAATTGTGGCGGCAACGTCGGGGGTCACGGCAGAGGGGCCCACGTGCGTCCCAGGAGACGATCTGCAGCGAGCCATTGTGCTTGGTGGCCTCCCACGGGGCCCAGTTGCTGTTAAATGGGCCACGTCGAGGCGTCAATCGAACCTCAGGAGACCTCGAAGCGTTGTTTGACCAATTCTCTGTTGGCGCCCATGGGCGCGACCGCCGCGGGGCCCCATTTGAGCTCGGAATGCTCGCGGAGGCCCTGCGGCTGGATCTCCGCAATCGGCAGCGCGCCCGACTGCGAGACGCCCGACTGGCGCAGCGCTCGGAGAGCGACGCCGGGGAATTTCTCGCCCAGGGCGTTCGCGACGCGCTTGGCCCGGAGCTCCTTGCGGACCTGCTTTGGGCGATCTGTCGGGGGGGGCGCGGAGCGGAGCGACGGCGCCCTGGGCGTTGGGGGCGCGAGGGCGCGCGCCATCTGCCCCCGGTGGGTTTCAGAGCTCGAGCGAGGGCGAGCGCGCGGGGTCGGGCGACTTCAGGTCCGCCGCAGATGTGAAGCAACATCGGCGGGCAGGGGCATTTCCGAGCAAATGCGCATGTTCGGCAGTAGGCCGAGCGTCCTGCATCCAGGGGTCGAGGGCGCGACGCGCTTCAGCAAAGTGGACGTTGCTCGGGGCGCCGATCTGGAAGAGGAACGGGTTCGGCTCACGCCCGTGGTCCGCGGTAATGGCGAGGTCGACGGTAGGGATTTGAGCATCGGCGAGAGAGACTGCCTGTTCGAATCGGCGCACTGCTTGACGACTAAATTCCTGCTGCGATGCTTGTGCATCATGGCGGCGGCGGATTTGTCCAAGGTCACGTCCGGCTTGCTCGACTCGGGCTAGATAGATGGTGGTGCGGAGGTCTTATTATACATGTCCCAAGGTCGTGTCGAAGAGGTTGCTGATCTGTTGGGTGGCCATGGTCAGCTGCGCGTTGACCGCGCTCACAGTGGCGGCAGAGAGTCTAGGCGTTGCAGGTCCTCCAGGAAGCTGCGGGGGCTGTGGGGGGAGGTCCCTGTGGAGCTGCTGCTGGGCGCTGCCGTCGTGGAGGTCGCGGCATGGCGGGTCGCTCTGGGGCGGCCGCAGCAGCGCGCTGTGGACGGGCAGGAGGCGGCGCTGCGTCTGCTCGAAGTTCTTGCGGCGGAAACGTGGGGACCAGCTCGAAGTCGGCAGCGAGGCGTTCGGCTTCTTCTTCTTCTTGATCCATGGGGAAACGCTGAGCGGCGCCCTTGGGCGGAGCAGATCCATGAGCCTCACGTTGGCGGGCTCCACCCGAACCTCAAGGGCGTCCTGGTCGCGAGGCACTGGCTGCTGTGGAACGTC